GACTAACAACCATAGACTTTCAGCTGCCCAACCAGTTTTGCTGCCTTTAAAAACATCCTGGAAGAGGTAAGGTGGTCTCCTATTCCAATCTGTTTGGGTCAAAATTCTTTCTGATATTCAACATCAGGCTGTATGTACTTCATACTCTCTTAATTTCAGAAGCCAGCATTCTTGATTATTCTATTTCTCCCTTATGTGTTAAGAATTCCATTTCTCCCTTAGGTACTAACATTTTATTTAGATTTCAGAATTCCTTCTTCAGTCATTTAACAAAGCCATGGCTTATCCAGATGTATTACTTACCCCTCTGGGATTACACATGATTAACTTTAAGTGCCAAAGGTCATCTAGTCCTTGTTATAAGTATAACATTTCTTGGGGTGCCCGGGTGGCTCAGCCGGTTAAGTGTCCCACGTGGGTGACTCAGGTCATGATCTCACAGCTGGTGAGTTCAAGCCCCGAGTATGGCTCTGTGCTGACAGCCCAGAGCCTGGAGCCTGCTTCAGATTGTGTGTCTCCCTCGTGCTCTCTCTCTGTCTCTCTCTCAAAAATAAATAAACATTAAAAAAAATTAAAAGAAAATATAACATTTCTTGAGAAAATTAGGAAAACTAGATCAGTATCTTCAAGATGCTTTAGAAAGGACTCAGCACTTAATCTTACATATTTCAATAAAGTCCAGAGTCCTTCACTTCGTGTCCTATGGCTCCCCTGCACATTTCTACACACCTTAAAATGGTCCACTCCTTTCTAACAGTAAGCCAAATACATTCACCCAACGTGTATCACAGGTAGCGTTTGCGAAAATATATGCACCAAGCCCTAGTTCATCATGACATGCAGAAAACACACACTATAAAACAAACAGGGAGAAGCACTTGTGTTAACAGAATGTTCTTTCAGAGTATTTCTTAGCTGCACATACTGGGTCCTTGAATGAAACTTCAACAGAGAATTTCCAAGTAGTAAAATATCTTGGCTGGTGACTGAATAATGACATCCACATCCACAAGTGAAACTTAAGGTATTTTAATAAGACACTTTGACATATAAATTCCCTATTAGCCAGGTTTATTTCGTTAACAAAATGGCCCAATGAGTCTGCAGCAGACCATAATTGTTTATATGTTTATATCGCATATGACTGATAGTTAAAATTTGTGAAAAACCTATTGCTATAAAGAGCCATGTTTCCTGGTTGCATTACGCCCAGGGCAGGGGGAGGGGGTGGCGGTTTTCCCATTGGCCACATCTCAGTCAGGCTTTCACATAGTGCAGTATGCACGACGGAAGTACCAGTAAAGAAATTAGCGAAAAACAAACAAACAAAACAAAAAAAAAAACTTCATTAAAAACATTTTATTATAAAAGTGTGCTTTATTATAAGGTAAATTTAAATATAACCAACAATACTGAAAATAATGTAACTGGCATTTACAGCCTTGGTCAGAATTCTCTATTAAACAGGCATTTGTTTGCTATTCCATGAACAGTTAACAATCAGCTTATGCAACAAGGTATCTTGAAAAAGTGGATAAAGAATACAGAATGATGAACCAGGAATTTGGGTGGGTTCTTTGCAGTTTTTTTTTTTTCTTGTCTAACAGACATGACTTTTAAAATAAAATCTGAAGTAGAAAAGAAGTCATCCTCATGTAGTAAGCTCTCTTCCTACATGAAGGTTTGTAAAATCATTAAACAGTGTTCTAAAATGGGGTTGAAGTTATACTTTACATATTGTTTACATATACATGACCCGATGAACCTATTTTAGCCATATTTTCATTATACTCAGACCATAAACATTCTCTAATAACACCACACTATAACAGCCACAGAATATTTTTACCCAGGTATATGTTTTTTTAAAACCTGTTTCCCCAAAATGAAATTGCTCATTTAAAAGTGAACAACTGGTTAGAATTAACCTCTCCAAACACTGTGGTCACGTGGGCCTAGAAATCACATTAAGAATAATACTGCTTTGGTTGAGTGGAATTTAATTCATCTTATATAGCAGAATAATAAGTATATCAATTATCAATGAAAATTTATACAACTGAGTTCATCCTGCACATTTGAGTCTATGTTCATGCAAATGGCAAGGTCTAATGGTACATCTGGACTGGGCAGAAATTCCTTTTATCTTTATGTATGGTTTATAAAAATTTATTTCTACCACCATAAAGGAAACCCAAGGGAACAGATGTCTGCAGAGGACTGTGTTATGTATGCCTAGTGAAGAACCGAGAAATATCCTGTGGGCGTGTAGATAAGGACTCCAAAATATTTTTGGTATAGGACAGTTTTTTTCCCCCCCTTAGCATATGTAGTATCTTCAGCTTCTATAAGACAAGTTTAAATAGCATTAAAAAAAACTGTGACATTAAATGTCGAACTCAAATTTTTTAAGAGTACAGAGAACTATACAATGAAAAAAGGAAGTAGATATATGTTTTATGAGGAAACTGTGTTAATGATCTCTCCTCTAAAAAAGACTCTTCCCTATTATCATAATGACTACATTGCCCGTCCTTAAAACCACTGGAACATGTAGGTTACTGACGTTAGGCCAAAGAAGTCAAAACATACTTTATTGCAAAAATATAAAAGGTTTTAAAATTGCATATGATGTTTTATGCCATAGTCCAAGGCCAGCACATAACTTATCAAGCCAGAAAAACTTGAAAACAAAAATGATTAAAATTGTACTGACTATATATATAGCGAGTTGTAAAAAGAATGTGATGCCATGCTGTAGAGCATGGTTCACTGCCAAGTTCCCTTTTACATGGGCAGAGTCACTAACACAGCAATCCGAGGGAGTCCACATGAACACATGTTGCCCATGGTAACACCCTTCAATTATCTTCTTGCACACAGATACTTTCAATATATTACAATCATTTGAATAAACCTCTCACTGAGATCATAATTTTGTGGAGTACAAAGTCATTTCATCAGTATGTCAATATTGTTTTGATCTATTCTTTAGAAAGTGATGTTAAAGCCTATAGAGTATTAAATCACTACTCCGCTTACTGATACGTTGTAAATGTAAAAAAAGGAAAAAACCTGAAATCACAGAAAATGCTTGGCATCTACACAAACACATTCTCAGTGGACTAACCACTACTGTGTAATTTTGTCACTATAGGTCTTGTTCCATACTTTTGCTTCATGCAGTGGGTTCAACAATATCCATGTTAGTTCCAAACAGGGCAACTAATTGTTCTTCGTAAGTGGCAATGTTCCTTTTCATAATTTCCATGCAAGGTCCCAAAAGCCTTTCAAATGCTTGCACATCCATGGCTAAGAGAAGGAGAGGAGAGAAGAAAAAGAAATGTAACATTCTTTGCAAATCTGAAAAACTGCAAAGTCATTTAGGATACCCATTCTGCATGTGTCAGGAATGCAATGGTTATTTTTATTTTTTTTAATGTTTTATTTTGAGAGAGAGAGAGAGAGAGAGGGAGAGGGAGAGAGAAAGAGGGAGGGAGAGAGATGGAGCATGAGCAGGGGAAGGGCAGAGGGAGAGGGAGACACAGAATCCGAAGCAGGTTCCAGGCTCTGAGCTGTCAGCAGGGCTTGAACCCATGAACTGTAAGATATGACCCAAGTCAAAGTCAGACTCTTAACCGACTTAGCCACCCAGGTGACGCTGCAATGGTATTTTTAGATAAATATCAAATATAAGAAAAGGTCACAAGGATAAAAATGTTCCACTTCAGAAAATAAACAGCCAGTGTTCCCTTGACAATGGGATTGTGCAATGCTAGGTTGCTGGGAGGCTCCTGGTCTCGGGTAAGAAAAAAACAAGGGACTATAATGGCAAAGCCTGGTAATTCTAAAAACCTGTTGTTGTTGTTTTTTAAAGTTTATTTTTGAGAGAGTGAGAGCAAGGGGCAGAGAGAGAGGCAGACAGAGAATCCCAAAAGGCTCCATGCTGTCAGTGCAGAGCCCGATGTGGGGCTCACACTCACAAACCGTGAGATCTTGACCTGAGCCGAAATTAAGAGTCAGCACTTAACCGACTGAGCCACCCAGGCCCCCCTAAAAAATAGTTCACCACCTCAGTAACATGAACTCTCCTCAAAGGTGGCAAGGCCTTTTTTTCCTCTACTGTTCTTCCTTCTCGGGGCTTACTTACGACGCTATGCCGTAAAGACATGATGTTACCTTGTGTAACGTTTACTCTCTCATACTATCGCCTAGCCAATTCAAAACAGCAGCCAGAATGCTCTTCTCCACTTGTAAGTATATGCTGTATGTCACTTTCCTGGTCTGTCTCATGCATTTTTAAAAACTCAATTTATTATATACTCGTAGAAACTATGATCACACTTTCTACTGTAGAAGTGCAAATTTTTATTAAAACTTTTTTTTTTTTTTTTTTTTTTTTTTTTTTTTTTTTGCCTTTCAAATTTGCAAAGGTACAAGGGACATTGTTCACAAGAGCAGAGGGAGTGGACACTCTTGCACTGCCAGTAGCACGTACATCAGCACAGGTCAAGAGGGCTGGGAGTATACAGTGAACTCCGTAAAAAGAAAGGCTACTCCCGAGAACCATTTCTAAGGAAAAATCCTATACATGGAAAAGTAGTCTGTGCGCACAGACACAAAACCTGCTCCCCCCCCACCGAAAAAATATGGAGCCCAAACCCCCAAAATCGCCAGTGGAGACCAATTAACTCATAATGTGGATGTTTACCTAACAGAATGTTACAATTTGATAAAATGAGAAATAAAATAAGAGCCTAAGGTACAGTAAATGAAACACAGCGGTTTACAACACTCTAAAAACAGAAAACCCATGCAAATAAAAAAGATGAGGAATTATAAGAGGATGTGGAAATCACTGGGGGTTGGTAGTGGTGGTAAGGAATTTTCCTACCTTCTCTGTATTTCTCAAATTTTCCTTAATGTGAATAAATCTGTTATAGGAAAAAAATAATGGGATTTCACTCACTTCACTTCACCTTTACTCTTTCTCACTAATGTCTATACTCAGGAAAATTACCTGTCAGTTTCTCACTACCTTCTTTTTCATCCAGGTGTAACACTTGAGCCCTTTAAAAAGGGGCTCCTCTAGGAAGTTGATTCCGAAGGGACCCTCAGATCTTAAGAATACTAAAGCTGGGGTGCCTGGGTGGCTCAGTCGGTTAAACATCTGACTTCGGCTGAGGTCATGAACTCGTGCTTTGTTAAGTTCGAGCCCTGCGTTGGGCTCTGTGCTGACAGCTCAGAGCCTGGACCCTGCTTCAGATCCTGGGTCTCCCTCTCTCTCTGCCCCTCCCCCCACTCACACTCTGTCTCTGTCCCTCTCTCTCAAAATAAACATAAAAAAAAGAACACTGAAGCCAAGTTTATTCTACTGAACCGTGAATAAGAACACAGAGTGGCTAATTACTGTTGAATCAATTTTTCTTAAAATGTCAACTAAATGGACTCCTCCTGAATTCCATTTTTCACCATTAAAGTAAGCGCTTTCTCATATATGGATCTCAGATACAGACAGACGTCTTCCATTTGAGGACAGCATCTCTGCTGCTAGGAAATAAGAAGTTGAACAATAGAGAAGATTTTGCTACATTCTGACAAACCTGAAACCATGGTTTCCTGGGACCAGGACGAGGAAGTACTCCCAAAGAGCTTCCAGCTTTGCCCAGAGACCTTAATGTATGCTATAAAAATACTATTCTGGCTTTTTTTTCAGGAACACAAACTTTATTTGAAAAACTAGACATAAAACTCCATACTCAGAATTCTTTACTAAAACAAGATGCCATTTCACGCCTATATGAAAGAAGAAAACAGGAGAAAATAGGTATGTGAAAAATTTTAAAGAAAAAACTAAGGGCGGGGTGCCTGGGTGGCTCAGTCAGTTAAGCATCTGACTCGTGACTTCGGCTCAGGTCATGATCTCAGTTTGTGAGATCGAGCCCCCCAAGAGGCTCTGAGTTGACAGTGTGAAACCTGCTTGGGATTCTCTCTCCCCTCCCTCTCTCCCATTTCCCCCACCCTGTGGGTGCATGCTCTCTCTCTCTCAAAATGAAACCATTTTTTTAAAAAGAATATTTTAGGGGTGCCTGAGTGGCTCAGCACCAAACTTCAGCTCAGGTCATGATCTTACAGTTCGTGGGTTTGAGGCCCCTGGAGCCTGGTTCGGATTCTGTGTCTCCCTCTCTCTCTATCCCTCCCCCACACTCACTCTCTCTCTCTCAAAAATAAACATCAAAAAAAATTTTTTTAATATTTTAATTAAAAAAAAAAACCCAAGGGCCTCCCACAAATCGATTTCATAATGCTATGAGTCCTTACCTTGTTCTCTCTAGTGGGGACTGTGAAACGTGTGAACCCAGTAAGACCATCAGTACAGCAACACGAATACATAAAAGGCAGACCGAACAGCTTCCACCCAGAGGAGCACGTACAGCGCTGTGACTCCTACCTAAACATTTGACGGTCCCGATGGCGTGCGCTGAAGCTGCTCGGGGTTTGTTAGTGACCAGAGCAAGTTCTCCAAAGTACTGTCCCCGGGAACACCGAGCAATTTCTACTGCGCCATTCTCTTCCACCTCGGATTTGCCCTGACAAGGGAAGTAAGAGCATGCGCTTTGACTCAGCTTATGAAAACCGAGCTAACCTTAGTCTAAAGCATCAGAAAGGAAACATATGGTGTTCCTTGCTCCCCATGGGTGTTTGGGACTTGCCAACACTTACCTTCCTTTTCATAGTGATTTTCACTTCACCAGATTCTACAATGAAAAAAGAATCTGCCAGATCTCCCTGTAAGAAGGAAACAAGCAGCGAGGGTGAAAATGCAAATTCGGGTGACAACAATCCCCTTGCCTCTCAAGCCCCGAAAAGTGAAGATGATTGTGCCGGACAAGTGAAGCTCCATAGGAACAGACTCTGTCTAAATTGAAAGGCTGTGCTCGACAATCACAAGTAATGAGCTCATTTGTAAAATTAACAAACTTCCTACCACAGCCTTTCTTGCTAAAACTAGCCAAAAAACAAAACAAAACAAAACAAACAAAAAAAAACCATGGCAAATACTGAAGAATTTAGCCCCAACTCCAGCCTGGATGACCACGTCCACAGTCAGAAATGGCAGCGCTGGGGGCGCCTGGGTGGCTCAGTCACTTAAGCGTGCACCTGACTTGGTTCTGGCTCAGATCATAATCTCACAGTTTGTGGGATCGAGTCTCCTGTGAGGCTCTGTGCTGACCATGTGGATCCTGCTTGGGATTCTCTCCCTCCCTCTATGCCCCTCCCCCACCCTCTCAAAATAAATAAACAAACATAAAAAAAAAAAAGAGAGAGAGAAAGAAATGGCAGCACCGTTTCCTAGTAGCACCTCCCACTCTGCCGGCCACTCCTACCGCTCCTGGAGAAGCGCTCAGATGCACACCCTGCATCACCCTCTGGTAACAAGCAATTAGCACCAGTGGCCCAAAGGGGAGAAACTCTCAAAGAGGAGAAAGCAACCAGGCTCATCAGGAAGCTCATCAGGAATCCACGTGGGCTCATCAGGGCCCAGGCTCATCAGGAATCCACGTGGGCCCTGTCGTCTTTAGCTACATTCCACACCACCTAGGGGGCCTAAAAAAGGCTTCTGAAAGTGTTGCCATTTCTAACTACACACCTGCTTTTTCCTGCTTTTGGTTTTTGAGTGAACTCGGTGTTGATTTCTGATGATGCCTTCCTATTTAAATAGTGCAATACAGAAAATAACAGATTCTGACTTTTCTGAGCCTCTCAAAGTGATTCTAGAGGAACTTTGGTTTTTCAAAACTCCTTAGTACATAAAATGTAAGAAATACACTTTGTCTAGGTTTATGTAATATAGAAATGAATGTTTTATAAACACTTAAAAGACAACTACTATCTACAAAGATCTTTAGTAAACCCTAAGTATAATATATAATCTCTCATCAGAGCTTCATGTTAAATTTTCAAGTATTTTAATAATAGGTCTATAGACTGTGTTACTTTTTTAACATTTTATTTATTTTTTTTTTTATTTAAAAAAAATTTTTTTTTAAGGTTTATTTATTTTTGAGACAGAGACAGAGCATGAATGGGGGAGGGTCAGAGAGAGAGGGAGACACAGAATGTGAAACAGGCTCCAAGGCTCTGAGCAGTCAGCACAGAGCCCAACGCAGGGCTCGAACTCACGGACCGCGAGATCGTGACCTGAGCCAAAGTCGGATGCTTAACCGACTGAGCCACCCAGGCGCCCCTAACATTTTATTTTTAAGTAATCTCTACACTCAGTATGGGACTCGAACTCACAACCCCAAAGATCAAGAATCGCACACTCTACCGACCAAGCCAGCCAGGCAGTTATTAATTTTTTTAATGTTTATTCATTTTTTGAGAGACAGAGTGTGAGCGAGGGAGGGGCAGAGAGAGAGGGAGACACAGAATCCAAAGCAGGCTCCAGGCCCCAAGCCGTCAGCACAGAACCCAACGCAGGGCTTGAACCTACAAACCGTGAGATCATGACCTGAGCCAAAGTCAGACGCTCAACCAACGGAGCCACCCAGGTGCCCCTAGGCATTTTTTTTTAAAAAAACGTGCTCTAGGGGCACCTGGGTGGTTCTGTTGGTTGAGCCTCCAACTCTTGATTTCGGCTCAGTTCATGATCTCAGGGGTGGGATCGAGCCCCACACTGGGCCTGCTTGGGATTCTCTCTCTCTCTCTCTCTCTCTCTCCCTCTGAGCCACTCCCCAACTTGTGCGCACTCTCTCTAAAATAGAAAAGAAAAGAAAAGAAAAGAAAAGAAAAGAAAAGAAAAGAAAAGAAAAGAAAGGAGAAAAGAAAAGAAAACTGTGCTAAAAATGATGTAAAAGTGGTGAAACAGGGTCTATGGATCGTACCACTGTCAGTTCCTTAGGTGTGACATTGAACTGTAGTGATGCAAGACGCACCATCAGAAAGTGGGGCAGAAGGGCATGAGACCTCTCTGACTTTTGCAACTTACCACAAATCTGTAATTATTACAAAATAAAAGGCTAAAAAAGTCATTTCAAAAGTGCTCTGTACTTTGTTATTTTTCAACTTCTGTAGAACCTTAGCCTTGTTCTCTAATTTGACTCCACTTCTCTCCAATCCCTGACTAATCTGTGTATACATGCATATGTGTGATAGGAGAGAGAGAGCGATTTACTTACTTTCCTTCTAAAAAATTATTCTTTCCTCAAGTCTCACAGACCTTGAATCTTGTTTCAGATATATCAAGAGACAGTATTCTTTATTTTTTATTTTTTTAAAGTAGACTCCGTGCCCAACGTGGGGCCCAAATTCACGACCCTGAGATCAAGAGTCCCATGCTCTACTGACTGAGCCAGGCAGCACCCCAGAAGAGACAATATTTTAGATAAAGATTATAATATGGTATCAATATCTGGATACAAATATTACAAAATCTTTTAAAATCTGTTTAAATCATTCACTCAATACTTCAAAACTGTAACTAGGAAATACAAGTTAATACAAGATCTGTAGCTGTGTCTTCACAGCTGAACTTCACAGTGAACTTCACAGTGAACTTCACAGTGAACTTCAACTGTTTTCATAAATCCTACTTCTCCGCAGCTCTATTGTAACCAAGGTTACAACTGGGATCTTAGAAAAGCTTTAGGGGTTAAACAGCACGTTGGCCCCCATTTAGTGCCTGGAAACCTAAAAAGGACAGGGTGCAGTGTGTTCCCTTCTTGATTAATTTTATCAGGGAGCAGCCTCAGGAGGTCTCATCATGAACTCAGCGTGCAAAACTCTGCAATAACTCCCAGTGCACCTAGCACCTACTGGGTCCTTACTATCTCGAGGAATACCCACCTGTTTTTTCTGATCATTAACAACATCTTATTGTTTAGATATATTTGAATTTCATGTCACGTACAAATAATAAAATTATCCAGAAATCCATGTGATGATTTAATACATGTTCATTGGGACTTAATTATATAAATAAAAATATTCAGATAGCTTAATGGCTATAAATTAAACTACTTTTAACAGGTCATTTGGTGGAACTAATAATCATTTAATCCATCACTGCATACTAATTATAGACACATATGAAAAACTGGTCAAGATCTGCCACATGTTAAGAACCTTTCGGAATATAACCCTAAGGTGAATTACCTAAAAAGGACTGTACCTGAGCAATGATTTGTTCTCCATCGTTGTATACTTTGGTGCCTATGACATCTACCACTTTCAGGCGTTCAGAAACCTTCAAAAAGATAATATCACACAGATGATCTGGGTAATCCTATTTCAGAAGTTAAAAACTGGTAGCCTTTAAGCCAAATAAACCCAGCAGAGTGTGTGTGTGTGTGTGTGTGTGTGTGTGTGTGTGTTGGATTAATGAACTGCCAGCATTTTAAAATAGATTTCTCATAAAAATCTTAATTTTCAGCTTCTCTTGAAAAATCAGGAAGGAGACTCACAACACCCGGCCCACATTTGCACATGGCACCAGCTACAAGCTGTGGGAGACTAGCTGATGATCTTTAGCTGGAGCACTTGTCGTCCAGCTTGACCCAAATCCCATCCTGGCTTCGTTTTCTCCTTTATGTTACTTGCCCAAATCTGAAGGCATCTGGATTTCCAGCCCCTGATCTCCTTTCATTTAAAAGAGATGCTGCTACATATTAACAGCTGCCTCATACGCATTCTGTCAGGCGGCCAGAACCTCTACCAGGCATGTACTGACAACCCAGCCGAAGGAGATTTCAGTACAAGAGTCAGTATGAATCCCAAGGCTTCTGGCCAAGGTGCAGTAAGATGGGGAAGGCATGGGAAAGAAGGTCGAGGACGCACTAGGTTTGAGATATCTATTAGACATCTTAGGGCATAGGTTAAATATATCGGCTATTTGAGGGAGGGACCTTGCCTAGTGATGTCAATTTCAGGAGGCATCAACATATAGGCAGTATTTACAGCCAGGGGATACGACAAGCTCACTAAGTGCGTAAGTGTAGCCGGAAAACAGAAGAGACCCTGGAATGCCAATGTGAAGAGGAAGGAGAAGAGGAGTAAACAGCAGAGTTGACTGGGAAGGAGAGGCCAGGGAGGACACACCGTTTTGACAAGCTGTCCCTGTAAAGGCACAACTAGTGCTACTGCCTACATTTATATATTATTTTCAGTCTGCTTTTATTTTTTTTAGTTTTTATTGAAATTCCAGTTAGTTAACATGTAGCGTAATATTTGTTTCAGGTGCACAATACAGTGATTCAACACTTCCAGACAATACTCGGTGCTCATCACAAGTGTCCTCCTTAACCCCTGTCACCTATTTTTACCCATACCCCACCCTCTGGTAACTATCGGCTTGTTCTCAACTATATAGTTAAGAGTATGTTTCTTGGTTTCTCTCTCTCTTTACTTCCCCCCACTGCTCATTTGTTTTGTTTCTTAAATTCCACATGAGAGAAATCATATGCTATTTGTCTTTCTCTGATATATTTCACTTAGCATTATACTCTAGCTCCATCCACATCGTTGCAAATGGCAAGATTTCATTCTTTTTTGTGGCTGAATAATATTCCATTGTATATGTCCCACACTTCTATATCCATTCATCAGTGGATGGACACATGGGCTGTTTCCATAATTTGGTTATTGTAGATAAAGCTGCTTTAAACACTGGGATGTATGTAACCCTTTGAATAAGTATTTTTGTTTTCTTTGGGTAAATACTTATTAGGTCTGCTTTTAGATAAAACCCACATATAAATATGTTATAGATACTCACAGAAGTCTATTACTTGTAAAACTAAGCAAAATAAAACAAATGCAGTCATAGGTAGTAAAAGAAATACCAAGTTATACAATCACCACAATTTAATTCTTTCAACTAAAAATGTGGATACATTTTTATTCAAAGAACCTTTTCTATGGAACAAAATATTCCAAACATTTTAAAGCAAAATAAAACAAAAGCATATACATATACTTACTTCCAAAGATTTAAGGAATGGCAGTGACTCGATAAAGCTTTCATACATTTTTCTCTTTTTGGCATTATTTTTTACAATTATTCTCCTGAAGGTTACCCTGTCCTAAAGGCAGAACAGCAGATACAAATACAGTTACAAGACAGATTTTATTAGGAAAAAAGTTTGAAGAGGTAGTTTCATTCTATTCCGTATAAGGAACAAACAATATCTGAAGACTTTGAAATAAAAGATTACCATTATTATCCTTTGCAGATTTTTTATTTCTTCAACCATAAAATATACACCCATATAAAATATTACTTTCATTTTTTTAAAGGAAACATGAGTTTCCTTTAATTCAGAACAGATCTGGTCAACGTGTAATTGGGACAACCCACAAGGTGGCACTATTGCACCATTTAAAAAAAGGCAATAGGCCCATCTTGGTTTTCCTCCAAGCTTTATCGAGATCCAAACGATCTATAATACTGCGTAAGTTTAAGGTATATAACTTGTTGATCTGATACACTTATATACCTTGTGAAATGATTACCACAGAGTTAGTTAACACCACCTCACATAATAATTACCCTTTTCTTTTTTGTAAGGAGCACATTTAAGACTTCTCTTAGCAACAATACAATGTTGTTAACCATAATTATCATGCTGTTCATTCAATCCCCAGAACTCATTCACCTTGTAACTGCAAATCTGTACCCTTTGATCAACACCCCCCCCCCCCCC